TAACCAACCAATAAACATCCTTCATATGTCTCCTCTTAAACAAACATTGGAAATTTGGTAAGACAAAACTTAGTTATAGTATTATAGGTATTATTGGTGGTGTTCTCTAATTAAAATTAGAGTTTCACCTCGACAATATGCACTTATATTTAACGTAGACCTCGATAATATACATTATGTATATTGTCAAGGTGAAACTCCAATTCTATTTGGAGAACAGCCTCGAGAGTACCTAAGGTACTACTATATCTAAGATTTGTCCAATTTGGTATTCGGTCCTATTTCATTTCATTTCCTTCCTCTTTATTTACACTTGAAACAAAATAGGACAAAAGAGTGAGACAACACAAAAACGATTCAGCAATTCTCAAAACAAGAACGCACGGGGTCAGCATGGAAGAAACCGTGTGATAAAATCTGCTCCAAGTAAGACTCAACAGCATATCGTCCTAACCTGTAGAAGATAAGGTAGCCATTATCAGTTATTGAGATGCACAGATGTGTAAGGTAAGATGCCAGTAGTAACTTTGCTTGAAGAAATTTGGATGCTATTAACTTTTTGCGGTCAACACCCAGTTGATCTAAAGCTTGTATTTTATTTATTTTAATCCCTGGAACATACTCCATTGTCAGAATCTGCATTGAAAAAATATTTAAATTATAGATAAATAAGAAAGATATCAAAAGTAAAAACAGGAAAGATGTATAGCTGCTATATATTATGATTTATCTACGAGAACTTATGGTTAAACCTGTGGAGTAGTATAATCCCAGAAGATTGTAGGGACTTTCACATAATCCAAGTTCTTAAAGTTACTTTCAAATAGTTCTGCATTAGCATTTGAATATAATTACGAAACATTCCTGCATTACGAAACATTCCAGCATGCAAGAAATCAGAATTCATTTGATCACGTACGTACGAAGCATGCAATCACGTAATTACGAAAACATGCAAGAAATAAAAATAAAAAAAAACGGGAACCACGTAATTATGAAATCATTCCAGCATGCAAGAAATCAAAACCGGGAATCAAAACAAAAGACCCCAACAGGATTCGAACCCATGCCATGACAGTAATATCCCAAGTGAACAAACCACTGCACCAAGCACTTTTTCTCATAAGTATGATACAATTTAAAAATAAAACATATGCCTGTCAATAGCAAACAAACAAACAAAACGCGAAAACACATTGCGTTTCACTCGTCTTCAACCTTGGGACGGGTCATTTTTACCCGTTTATGACCCGCGGACCCGAAATGAAAACCCGACCATTTCTCCACGTTTTGAACATCGAAAAACACCATTTTAATTACAGAAACGGTAGAAAAATCATCCTCTACTCCCTCTCCAGCTTTAGAAACAATTATGGGGTTGAAAAAAGATACCCAAAAACTCGATACAAAACAAGGCAGAGGAAACAACGTGCTCTGATACCAAATGAAAGAACTAATATCCTTAAGATCTAAACATGGAAAAAATCAAAACAAACACGTTCAGATCATTCTCATAATTGCGGAAATTAAAAGACCAACCTCCAACCATTGTTGTTCGCTTGTTCCTTCAGGTTTCTGAACCTTTGCTCTCAATATGCGATGGTGTAGTATACTGAAGAGGAGAGTAGGCTCAGGGACCCAAAATAGAGATACGTGTTCAATTTTATAGAGCTCTAATCCATCGTAGAGCCTCTTTGAACGTTGGAGAAAAACGTGCGGGAATCACGGTACCATATCCGCAAGTTATTTGATAATGGGTTGAAAAATGGACCACATTCATGATATGTTAACCGTAGCAAGTGAAAGGATCAGGAAAGCAACGTGAAAATCGGAAGCACGTTGTTTCCTTTTACGTGGCTGTTGCAAACGTGTTACTGTTGCAAAAATAGTTTTTCAAAAATGACGTATATGCCAACATCTCAATCAAGAGTTTGGCATCTATCAATGTAAGGAAGGGGTGAGAACCTCATTTTTTATATGGGTTATTTACAAGTTGCAAGATTGACCTCAATCCTACTACTTTTTTTTTAATGCATGAGATTTAAACCCAAAAGTTGAATGTAATTGTACTGTGAATCTGTTGTTTCTTTGGCCTCCAATTGTGATATAATTGTGTATGATCTATGATATTGTTTCTGTTATAAAACTATATTGTTTTCGAAATTTCTAGTATTTTGAATGCGTTAGTAAGTAGTAGTTGCATTTTTTTTATCTCTACAATTCTCTCTATGATAATTGTAAATTGTGTGTATATTGTATAAGTGTCAAATGGGTCGGGCTAGTCTGACCCAACCTAACCTATACAAACCAAATGTTATTTTAGGTTAGGTCAATCTAACTTATATTTTTTCGATTTGTCATTTCTTGTACTAACTTGACCCATGTTGGACCATTGAGCCAAATTAACCTAATTAAAAAATACATTTAAAAAATTAAATCTATTTTTTACAATAAAAAAGGAAAACAAAATTAAAATTTTTAGACCCATTTATAAATAAATAAGTAAATCATAATTTTCTCTACATTCCTCTTTTGTCACAAAATCTTGATACTCTTATTAGAGGGATTAGATTAGAGAATATTTTAAAGCTTAATATGCTAAAAATAAAAATAAATAAAAACACACACAAAAGGTATTGGTTTTTCTAAACATTTGAAAAACAAGAAATAGAACAATTTAAAAACATGTTTTTATAAAGACTTATACAAGAAAAATAAGATAACGTGTATTTTTTTTTTTATAAGAAATGAAAATAATATATAATTTGTCATATGAAAAATTAGCCTTAGTTCCATGTGAGCAAGGGATTTTGTCACCAACATTAGTACAACTTGGGGATAGTAGTTATAACAATCTCAACACTAAGATTGAAAACAAAATGGAAGGAAATACAAGGCCTCTTCCCACATTAGGCACACCCAGACCAACGTGCGATAGGTCTTTATTGTAAAAATATAATCATTATTATCAATTTATCATCTTTCAGATTCGGATAGTCCTCGTGATTGGAAAAACTTTTGAATTCGAGGAGAGTTATCAATTATCACATATCATCAGGTGCCTCAAATTCAATCACATGAGAATAGTCAAGCGTACATCTTCCAATGGTGTCGATGAGCTTCTTCAATCATTGAAAAACGAGTAGGAGCTCCCGTGAGATGCATACACGCAAATAACTCGCTAACATAACTTCATCTGGTTATGAATGTATGATTTAACTCTGTTAATTAATTATGTTATTAAGTGATTAAATGATCCTTATCCTGTGTTAGTAAGTGAATTTCATTGGACTTTGAAGAGATTTGGATTATGTGAATCGACAACATATACTTAGAGAGGGAAATTCAGTAGCACTGTGTGAATTATTAAACTTTGCTCATATTGGGACCAGATATTTTGATGTCACCCCTAATGTTATATCATTAAACTTGTACTACGATTTTTTTATCATCCTCTTTTGAAAAGTGAGTAGGAATTAAAATATTATAATCAACGATTTATTGTGACAATTCAGATACAGGATCGTAAAAATTTAATCTAAATGTAGGAACAATATAAAAATCTTACATAATATTCAATAAAAAAATTGATATATATATATATATATAA